CAGATCTCCTCACCTCCTAACACATCAAATTAAAGAACAATGAAATTATCTCAAATGTCAATCTTAAACAATGGATGTTACCAAGCAAGATAAACAATGTGTTGCGTGTTGTGCGTACCTTTGATGTAGAAGAAGAGGAAGTGTTATATGAGTAGTTCACTTTAGTCCTTGCCTGTCCACGATGCTGATTCTGTACTTTCTCAAACTGTAGTAGCCGTGCAGTAAAATTGATTCCTTGGTGAGAACTGTTGATCTTATTGTCTTCTACGTCACCGTCTTCGTGATGATGCATATACTGAGGGAAAGGAACTGAAGACGTTCTGCTTATTTGGTCTCGGTCTCGGTCTCCACCACTGAATGAGTACGTTGGGACAGTTTTGAGTCTTGTCCGAAGTATCTTAAACGCTGCACTTTGCTGCATACCAAAAAAAGATCCAGGAATTATAAAGAGCCATCAACTTTGATTTAAACCGAACAAGCGTTTTTCTTTTCATTTTTCTTACCTGAGGAAGTAACATTAGAAGACCATACAGTGTTTTCAGCAACCATGTGTATCTTCCTGGTTCAAGAAGCTGCAAAAGAGAAAAGGTTTCAATAGCGATGAAAAGAAGAAGCCAGATTAAGGAGATACAGCTATTTTGTTAGAGATAAATATAGCAAACCTGCAATCTAAGGTAAGTAAAGATTGGAGTTTCGAGAAGCCGAATCAATTTATCAAGTTGTACAAGAAATTTGACGTTAATGTCTTCTTCTACCAGTGATTGAATCACGACACTCGCGTGCTGGTAAGCCTGTTATAATTCCATTTGCTGATGTTCAATACCGGGTTGTGAACAATCATAATCATATTTTAAGAAATATACAACAAAAGTACATTTTTTTGTTTTTGTATTTACCTGAGCTAATAAGCAGAGGCTTATAATTGCCATGGGTGAATGGCACCATGAAGCGTACAAGGCAACAAAAAGTTCTTTCCCTTCGCGTTTGACGAGTGAGCCTTTTAAAAGATTTCTTAGTTTAGATAACTCCGGGGACGTAAGCAAAATCAAATTCAATGCCTGAAACAAAAAAAAAAGGAAAAAGGACAGTCTAGTTATTACCAAATCAAACTGAGACAAAAAAAACAAAAACGAAAAAGCCTACCAAATTACAAAGGGCCGTACAAGGCATGCAAACAAAGCCAATAATCTAACTGCATTAACCTTAAACCATTCCTTAATCGAAAAAATATGAGAAAGGAGAAATAAATACCTGAACCATAGTTGAAGCAAAGTCAAGATTATCTTCTCCCTCAAGTATAGTTGAGAGCTCTCGATAGACTCGTTCGGCATCCAAAAGTACACACAGCCTCCGGACAATAAGGGCACCACGCCTAAAACCAATATGTTTTGACCAACTAAATAATATGTTCTTTCCAGAGACTTTAAGGCAGACTATAAGATGGGACTAACCTTTCCAAAAGAGAATTATCAGCCCGGAAATTGTGGACTAGAAAGACAATGAGCTGGCGAAAGTGCTGTGGATCTTTTGCTACACCGGCATGAACCTCCAGAACCAAGAGCACCACCTATGATATATTTTCAAGTCCAGACAGTTCAATATCATAAAGTTTATAACTAGGCAAAACCAAACCTATGTAACATAAAATTCACCGAACAAACACTCAGGGAAATAACTCTTACATCATCAGAAGAATCCGATAGTGCCTTTAGAAGGGTGTCAAATATGTCATTCAAGAAGCACAAAACCTGTTACAACATTACCAATTTAGCTATGATGAATAAAAGGGATCATTTGAAAAAGAATGATGCCAAACAAAAACCAGTCTCTTCACCTCAGTACGGTGTTTGTTTAAAAGTGTTGATATCCAATTTAACGCTTCAATTCGAGTAGCCTCATAATCGCTTGATAGCTGCCTGGTAAATTCAAAAACTCACAAATCACAAAACAGGCAAACATTGATAGCATGCAAAAGGACCAAAATCATACAGAGGCAAAAACTAACCTCCTTGCTACAGAGAGAATTGCCCCAACATCAAAACCATCTGAGGGTTCAACATGGATTGAACGAAGTTCTTCATTCGTTTCACGAGCAACCTTATGCCAATAAAATAAACACTACTAAAGTGAAAATTTGCATACAAAACCTACAGTTTCCATCATTGAAGAGGTGGAACCAAACTTACCACCCTGATTTTTTCTTCTTTGTCAGATATGCAAGGCAAGATGGCTCCAAGAATATCAGCATAATAACGCACAAGCTGGTCACCCCCGAGTTTTACAAACTCATTTATCTACAAAAG